GTGCCTGGAAAATAAAAAGGCTAAATCACATCTGTTGAACAAACTGAAAGTACAGAAGCCAGATTGCTGAGGAAGAGTAATAACATAAGGGGAGGACACGGAAGCACTGCACGCGGACCTCTCCCAGGAGAGAGACACAGTGATGTCTGGGGATGGGCTGTTGGGACAAGTCCAAGGAAGTACCAGAGCTCTGTGCACAAACATTTGTTGTTAATTAGGTATTAATGGATTAGTCTTCAGGAAAGACCCTTCCTGCTATATTTTGTCTTGAATGGTGATCTGGTTGGTGTTTATATCAGTAACATGAATAAAGACATACTGTTTGCTCGTAGTATTTATAGATAATATTGACAGAATCAAAATTCAAAAATGCCTAGACAATGGGTCGAAGTAAAGATTAGATGAAATTTGGCAAGGTAAATGCAAGACCCCACACTTACACTGACAGCCAGATGGAGAAGCCCTATATGAGGGGTCTTCAAAAAGTTCACAGAAGGATTCGTATTATCTTTAATTCCATTTTTCCACGAACTTTTTGAAGTACCCTCATAGAGAGCCCACTAGCAACACTTCATAAGGCCATGCACTGGGATTAAGGCGGTGGCCAGTGGGATCACACACGGTGTGTCTGCACTGAACTCCACTACCTTCTATTTCAGTGTCCTTAGGCAAAGGTATGAAGCTCCCTGAGCCTTATTTTCTCCTCTAAGTCGAAGGCACTGATATCTACTTTGTATCGTCTTTATAAGGCCAACTGAGATAACCCATGTAAAGAACATGGAAGAGCAGCGATAAACAGTAAGTGCAAGATTATTAGCAGGTATTTTGTATTATTATTTACTGCAAAATTCCAACATGAACCAATAATCTGATGTGACTACCAAAAACATAAAGACATCACAGCCTCCACCAGTGAAAGCACATTGCCCTGCCAGAGAAAGCAAAAGTTCCACCACATTTTCAGATGTGGGCACTGCAATTCAAAGAGGGACATTAACACACCAGCCCTTACCTGGGAGAGTATGACTAACTAGGTGAAGGTGCTGAGCCATGTCCTAGTTGAGGATTTAGAGCTGTATGCAAGAGACGATCTAGAGTGTGACTGATGTCTCTGGGGAAATGGGATTGGATGTGCTCCTCAGTTCTCCCAGGGAGAAGGACAAGGATAAATGCACAGAAATCAGAGAAGGTGCTACATCGAAATAAAAACTCTATTCTAATGGAGAGGCCACATTGTGCAGCACTGACTTGCATACTTGGAAGTATTCACACTAAATCAGTGACTATTCATGCAAATGTCTTAGAAGTTTTTCACCCAGTGGGAAACTGGGCAGCACAATCTCTAAGGTTTCTTCCAACTCTAAAAAGCTCTAATTCTATAATCATAAATTAGCATAAATTACATTATTAGCAGCTGTATATATTACTAGTATCTAGTGCTTCAAACTATTTCTGATTTGTTACCTCTATTCTCTACCCTCGACTCCATCTCATTAACCCTTTTTAGAGTAACTCCCATCCACATTTCCAAATAATTCATCTCTGAAGAGAAGTTGCTTTTCTACTGAGACACCCATGAAGACTTACCCCAGTTTCTGCAGGTTACATTGCGGATGCTTGGCTTTTTCACATAAAATTCGAACTCCTGAGTCTCCCAAGGCATTTTCCCCCA